GTTTGCGTTGAGAGGTGAGGAGTTCGACTTGGCAAAGCTAACAGCAATGTCGACAATCGTTCCAACAAGGCATAGGTACAGGATTACACCACACAAGACCCTGTACAAATTGACAATACAATGAATATGACGGGTTTAAAAGTATTCCTTTAAACATTGTTTACAAGTGAATGTAGAAATTCTCTCATCGGCACGGTATTTTTGAGCGCAACACAACAACGTTGGAATGTAATTAATCCTTTCATAATGACCTAGGGAGGGACACAGCAAATCTCGTAACATCGTTTCAGGATGGTTACAACGAACTTACAATTCCTGCGGTATTCGTCCCGGCCGACATCGACAATGTAGGACCACAGGGCGGTTTGTGGCAAACATGTACCCAGTTACTATTTGTCCTCTCTCTGTGACGATGATGGGTATACTCGCACAGGCTACCTAAGTCTAGCAACTCTTTTGAGCCACTATCATGTGAAAGTTTTGTTTTCTGATGCAGTAACTTGATTTTCTCTGCTATACCTGTTACTAGTTGTGGTCACAGTAATCACGTGTGTGCGCAGCAAAACATGTAATGTAAGTGTTGCGCTAGGCTGCTACCCATGCCCCCTGTTAGGGTGTTTCACCAATCCAGGATTGGTTTCCCGACATCTTGCCCACTGCTCCTAACCTCATGTTTTGATTCGTGGTTATTTTGACAGCTCTTTCTACCTTGTTATTTGACTGACTATGAGATAGTGAGGCCGCAGTGTGTTCAAACTGTCAATCACGAACAAAGTTGGTAAATTGTTCCCTGGCAAACTTTTAACCGTGGTTAAGGAACACCATTTCTGGTACTTTGAGGTGTTTGAAGCAGCAAAAACAAAACAGAACGAAACAAAACAGAACGAAACAAAACAGAACGAAACAAAACAAAACAAAACGATGAAATAGGCCGACTGGGCAACAGAAACCAGCGAAGGTGAGTATAGTTATTATACTCATAAGTAACATTTTATTTTGCTGCGCGTTTTTATTCTTCGTTATTTTAAACTCCGTACAATGACTTGTAGAGCGCTCAAATTCTCAACTACCTGAAGTGTAAAACGACACTGCGTACTTTAAGTAGTCGCCTCCCACTCGATACGCTTACATAAATCACTAATATTTGGTCAATTTCTCGAATCGTGAGTTTGGGATGCCTGTGCTTTTTCATGCCATCTCCTTGAATTCAGTCATGAAAAAAAAAAACGATGTTCTTCACACAACAACACTGGCCTAACACTACGATGTCGATGTAAACCATTAAGCACTTAATGACTGGTCCCGAGGGAAACAGTGAGTTTTGTTTCCCCGAGACCCTGAATGTTCCCCGAGGCTTCGCCTCGGGGAACATTGAGGTCGAGGGAAAACAAAACGCACTGTTCCCCGCGGGCCCAGTTAGTAAGTGTTTTGTTATACCTCCCAACTCAAAAATAGAAAAAACTGCGAAGAAATCGCTTGCTTGACGCCGGCTGGCTCACAAATTTGCCGCGGTTTCAAGGAGCACGACCTGATCACGTGTGAGTCGAAAGTTCAAGTTGTTGTTTCCCTAGGGAGTTATTGAGTTTTGTTCGCCCTTGGGAGTTGGTGAGTTTTGACTCACGACACGTGACATGCTCTCCTCCAATCGGAAAACTTATTTGAGTTGGGAGGTATCACAAAACTATTCTCAGAAATCGCATCATTTTCCGTACTTTCTGCCATTCAGTCCGCAAATTTAGATTCGCTGTAACACAAGTCTCGCTTTCGTGATCTATATGAAAATAACCTCCCATTTGTGGAATTTAATAAGGTTTAGGAAAATCGCAAAATTATTTACATCACTTTGCTTGTTTAAATTTTTTGTCATAAAACCTACGTTTGTCCAGTGAACTATACTTTTTCGGTATGTGTTCTTATAAATACACATGCACGTAGGACCATTTATAAACATTGGCCAGATACTTTGCAAGCAAGTTTTAAGTTCTGTACTTACAAAGTTGTGATTACTCCGGTTGTGTACTCTGACTTCTTGTTACAGAAAACAGATTTAGCGGCAGCATCATCGAATGTGTGTGGGATTAGCTTGAACACTGTGCTATCAAATTCTTGGTTAGCTCCTGGTAGAGACGAATGCAACAGGCCAGACATAGAGTAGATTGTTAAACAAATACCTTAGCATAGGAAATCAATGAATGTCTGTATATCAGGAGCTTTAAGTTGAAGCAAATGGAAGTGAATTATTAGTAAAGGAAATTTATGTCAATTAGAAGGAAAACTTTCGTGACGAAGGAAATTGACGTGCAAAGATAACACTTTTGTGCTAAGAACAAGCAAAATGAAGTAGACAAGACAACAGAGTAGAACGGGGGCAGATCAGCTACGGTAATTTGCGAAAATAAAGTGACAAAACACAGGACACCATTTGGAAAATGTTTCCACTCTGGAAAGGAAAAAGAAACTAAAATTGAAATTCTACAGCATAACATTCAGTTAAATAAAAAAGGCGAAATTTCCATTCCGTCATTATCATGCACCCTGGTAAACAGGCAAGGATTTCAAAAACGACAGACTATAACGAAAAACGTGAGGTATCTGTTTTGCCTTGGTTACCAAATTCGCGATGAGCCAATCAGAAGCCGTGTCTACTGTTCTGATATCCCGCGATATCAAGTCACTGACCTGATATTGTTACAATATCATGCTCTCAAATTTGGGCTCGGTAAATACTTAATCACACCTTTTTGGTTTGTTTCAGCGGCATATCGAGCTCGTTTAGTGTCGTTGCGCTTATTTTAGCTTGACGAACCATGGCTCCATCAAACTCTCCTCATCTGCTGCCGAAGTGTGTCAAAAACGTACGACTAAAAATAAAAATTGGTACGTATTGGCAATTTTAATCCAACTCTCGAAATCTCGAAGTCTGGTGACCGGTTTTGAGTACATAGTTCCCATCACCGTCGGTGTGAACAAAAGTAAAGGCCGTCGAAACCCTTCTAATTTTGAAGTCTGCTTTATTTCACTCGAACTTGGTTTAAACAAAGACGTTGACAAGTATTCTTTAGTCCTAGTACACTTTTAGTAGGGGAATAAACGTAAGATTTCGAATTTTGCTGTCTCTGGCCGGTCACGGTAACGCGTGCGAGATGTGTGTGTGGAAAGGGTGCAAATGTACCTGAAAAGATATCTTGTACAGCGTTGGTCACATCCTCTTCACTGCACTGTTTAGGTGCACAGATCCCCCAAAGAATGGGATAATCCTGTGGAAAAAAAAAAAGAAACAATCAAAACAAAATAGTCAAAAGAATAAAGAAGTTGGGTCGCGGACGACACAGCCTTTTTCCAAGTTTGTCATTTGCAATTCGTGTTAATAGTTCTGTTTGGTGCTTTTCTCTTTTTATTTCGAATTTCCTTCGATTTGAAAGAAGACTTAAAAAAAGACTTAAAAATATCGTGAGATAGTCACATGTGCAGTAGTTCTAATCCTGGAAGTAGACAAGCCTGAATAACCTTAGTTTACAGTGGCGGATCCAGACCTTGAGCTAAGGGGGTGGGGGATGGGGAAGAGGTTTGCTTGCCTTGTCGGCTTTTCTTCCTTCTGCGATTTTTTTTTTAAACCAAAATAAGGGGGGCCCGGGCTCCCTGGGTCCCCCTAAATCTGCCACTGGTTTATGCCACATGAAGTGACAAGCAGTATCTAACTAAGCTCCGTGGATGGAATTAATGCCAGTCGGAAGTTGTAGGCTACTCCTTAGCCTGAGACCTGCTAATCTAGCGTCCAGTGCACTAACAATTGATACAAGTATAGTAATACTGTAATGGTTGGAAAAATCAGGATTCTACTGTTTAGAAACTTAATTATTGTGTCCTGATGACAAACTATTCACAACGTTTTTATATTGCAATATAAGACAAGAAGCTCAAAGAGCTAACAATGGGTTCGCCAGTTTGAACACTCTAAGACCGCTTTTTGGCACGAAAGGCATTGCGTAGCACAGCAAAACAATTGGAAAAGTGGTCATTCAAGTCCCATTCAAGTCTAAAGCTTGCATAAGTACAGCCCAGCGGCAGAAGAATTTTGGTTATTTCCTAACATGCTTGTAACATGCTTGCAACTACGCGATCCTAAAAAAAAAACTTGTCACTTCATCATATTTTTTATTACCCCCGAAGAAGGCTTATGTTAATAGCCGAAACGTTGGGTTTTTAAAGATTTTTAATAACTATTCTCAACCAGTGTGACATTTTTAAGCGATGACGTATGACATGATGACGTCATCGCTTAATGCTGGCGTACGATATTCCTTTGGATAAATGATGTCGCACTTTTCTCCGGTGTCGCGCACGATGTATCCTAGATCGAAGAGAGGAGAACTGGGAACTGGGAGCTAAACCCGTTTTGGTTAGATTTCCAGTTGTTAAACGCAGGTATCGGGACTGGAGTGATCGCTGTATTTTATACATTGTCTTCTAGTTAAGGCAGGAGTCGTACATCGATATTTACATTGGACAAAAATAGGTCGGCAGTGCGTACATGTGTGGCTTACAAGTTATACTTGTAATTGGGATAAAACTGAATTATCATGAAAAAAATGAAAGACACTACCAAGATTTTCAGCTCAAAAGGTCAGTGATCGATAGTAGAAGATGAAAATATGAGGTATTTTAGAGAATAGGGTGCTATTACAGAGAATCACAAAGTGTGCTCAGGGCTCAGGATTCTATTTTTTCGCCAAAATCGCAAACAATAATCGCGAAAAAAGTATGGGCTCTTGGAAAAGCTTTGTTCTAGGTTCCATCGTTTAATATCTGGGACTTTTGAAGTCTCATTACAAGCCTTCGCTCTCGAACGCTCCTTGCGTGAGAGTTGGGAACGTTTCGCAAAGGGAATCGATAAAATCCGTGTTATTTTGGAACGGCCTTCAAAGAAGACGCCGCGATTTTGACGGGCGTCGAATGCAAGTACATGTTTTTATTTCAATAGCTTGCTGAATTTTTTCGATATCGTGACTAATTTTCCTCGAAACTACAATATTTGAGTGTTGTGTCGCCAAAGTTTCATCGGTGGCAACAAGCTAGTAAAAATGGCAACCACATATTGAAAATAGCCGTCAGAAGAAATGGTTTCTGACGGGAAAACGACTGGAAGTTTACATACAATGTATCGCGAGTACTTCGAGTCTTTTTTTCGTTTTCACACTGTATTTCGTTAGTCTTATTTAGAGGGTGAGAGTCTGTTATTCTGTGATAGCTGAATCATGTAAGCTGATTTATGAAATGATTTTTTTTATCGGCGTGAGAAGGCTGGAATTTGACTGAAGTGTAGGTTTGATAAGGGGCACATGTATCATGCACATGCACTGATGTACATTTCTACATGGTGTATGTCCCCCAGTGGGTCAATGATCATTTTTTTCCTTGTTTCTTATTTATTAGGATGTCCGGCCATAATATGGACAACTATTTAGAAGTGTTAAAGAGTTGCTGCCGTTTGCCGGAATTGGTGAAATGAAACAAATCATGTGATCAACGCATTGTTATTTTAAGTTGCCATGTCTATTGATAACAGATACTGTTATCTCAATTCTGTTGTCTACTTTGTTTTCAGGTTCAAGAGGGTGCCAAAAGTCAAAATAATAATAATATTGTATGTCGAACTTTTATTCTCAAACTCATTCATTATTCATGCAGCTCTTACCCAACCAGAGCATCTTATTCTAGTCAGGTGGATGGGTTTAGAAACCCAATGAAAAACGAGTTGAAAATCAAGGTGTGTTTGGAAATAATTTCAAACACCGATGCAAATATTCTTAATATGCATATTTATAAAGCAAGAAAAACACATGAGGATAGACAACTTTATTTAATCACTCATTTTGACCTAAATTATTTACTGCTGACATTAAATGTAACGGTACAGTTATTAAACTCCCCAAAACAGAAAGAGCCATTCTTTTTCTAAATTTAAATTCTCGCTCAATGGTGGCGACCGCGTCTTTTGTTTCGCTTTCAACGTTGCTGTACAATTCCGACCTAAAATGGCACCAACGTTAGAAGTTCCCAGTTCTAAGGCGTACTAATTTACTATCTACCCATCCATTAACAGACTAGATGTACACGTTACCTCGGAATAGCGCTGGCCACAAACTTTACCTCTTCCTCGCGAGATTTAGGAGGTCTAAATCTGCACTCTGCTATTTGCTTTGCGAAGCAACGTGTTCGCTCAGAACTGACAAACAGCCAGGTAACAACGTGACATTGATGAATATTCAAAAATTGTCACAGAGCAGCAATTAGGTGATAGAATCACGTTGCACGTCTCAAATATAATATTTGAATTGAAAAAACTTATTCAAATGATAGTTGAAACTAATTTTCTTTGTTGGAGAAGTAATTTCAAAAACTCGTGCTTCGGGTTTTACCAGGTTTCCAAACGCTCGAAAAAAAGTAAAACCACGAGGCAGCAGGCCTCGTGGTTTACATTTTTTCTCAATCTCATTTGTCTTCTTTGAATATTTGATGGGGTTTAAATATTACAACTTGTAAGCAGTCTAAAGAGCCTAGCACAGCTACTAGATCAGTGTCACATTTCATGATTAGCACTGCCCCAGATTAAACAGCGCGTATACAGGGTCCAGAATGTTAGAGTTCAGCCCTCAAATAAGCAGTGCATACACTCACAACAATGCGAGGCATCACACTGAATTGTTTGAGAAGTCAAACAAATTATCGGAAGGAAACACTCACTCTAAATCATACAGCCACGCGAATTTTGGAAAACCTTTGCAATTAGCATTTTGTGAAGAAAGGGGAGAGAAATGTCCTTCGTGGAAAGGCCCCAGTGTCCAAACTTTCTTTGTATCTTTTCGCAAACCCCTTAAGCTTAAAATCAACTTAAGCTTTCAGATGACAACAAAAACAACACTCTGAGATAATTGTAATAATTGTCCCTTTGAGGAAAATTACGCTACCGACTGATGGGGACACATTTGATACATCACAAGCAGACTACTGTTCTTGGTTCTACTAATATATACACAGGCTAGCCTTGCATCGAAGCTTTTAACACTATTCCAAAACATCTTCTGGTGTAGAGTGTGACCAAGTTCACAACTATTTTATTTTTTGCCCAAAGCATTAAGAAAAATGCTAGTTTTGCACTAATAAAAGTCACATTTAATTAGTATCTGACAGCGACAAAACAGTAGTTAGACTTTTGTTGGATTATTATTAGCAAACAGTGACACATGTAAAACAAAATCACTGATTTATTCAGGAAATGAAAGCTTTTATCAGTGTTCATCTATAAGACTTAAAGAATCCGAAGGGAAAACTACAACAATCGAAGACTACATCACGTTGGTTTTGCGGTCTTTGTGGATTTTAGGAAAGACTTCATCGCATTTTACTTTTAAATATTTGACCAGGCTAAACAAAACCGAATATTTATGAGACAAAAATTACTGCAAACACAAGAACTCTCTTATTACGTATTTCACTAAACACGGAAGACTTGAAAAACCGTTTCCTAATACCTGTTTGAAATCTGAGGTTATATAACCAGGCTGCATTCCGTGCAAGCTACACAAAAGATCTTCCACGTGGATCTTTGCCTTTTTCGATACAATACTTCAACATCTTGACGCAAACTTGGCAGATCTTCGGCGTCGGTGAACTTCGCGTGGAATGATAGCAGTAGCATCGACATTGCTAGCGCTATGAGCACTAGGTGCGTGCATGTTACGCTCAATATTCTAGCACAAGAATGGTTATTATCCGTATATAACGACTTTCCTATAATCTGGAAAGTACTGATAGCTTAAAGAAGTTTTGATTTGCAGCACACCTGGTATTGTATGAGTGAATCTCGATGCAGATGTGAGAATATTCAGTGGTACAGCTGGGGTGTTACTTTTATCATTCTTAAGTTTATATGTAAAAGTGATACTTTTAGTCTGTAAATATTTTCAAATTTCAAGATTCCAAGAAGATTATGATAGGGGTTGACATGTTCTCTGCCATGAGCACTGAAAGAACAAGCTTCGTGTACATTTATTCTGCTTTGTGCAGATTTTATTTAATCTAGTTTTGTAAGCAGCACCCCAGGTGGCAAGACCATAGTTTAAGTATGGATAAATAAGGCTATAATATAACTGTTTGAGCATATGAAAATCAAGATAGTGTCTTAGCTTATTAATTATAGCTTATTAATTCTCTTCATTCATTGTAAATTCAACCTCCTTTGGATTACTACCGGTAAAGAAAATATTAGTATCATCTGCAAATATTCTAAAAGAAAGCTTCTCAGAGGAGTTTGGTAAATCAATAATATAAAGCAAGAATAACAATGGTCCGAGGATTGAACCCTGGGGACCTCCACATGTAATAGTTTCCATACTGGATTCAATTTCATCAATCTTTACAAATTGAGTGCGATTGCGTAAGTAGCTTTTGAACCATTTAAATGGAGTTCCACGGATTCCATAAGTATATAATTTAGAGTAAAATATCATGGTTTACTGTATCAAATGCCTTTGAGAAATCGAGAAATAGGCCACAAGTAATTTGTTTGTTATCAATTGCTGAGTTCGCCTGATTACGATTTCGTTCAACGTTCCCTGGCGGCGGCAGCGCGTACCTGGGTACTGGTCCTCGTTCGCGTGAACGGCGTTGTGGACAACTAATTTGAATGTGACCAGTTTCTCCACAATAAAAACAGAAAGGCCTTCCATCCCTTGATCTCTGCGCGTTGGCTCTTACATCCCTTCCACGTTGAACAATTCCATCAATTAGTGCATCCACACGTCGGTCTAGACTTCTCATTTCGTTAGTCAGTTCCCGAATAATTCTCTGAAGTTTCATGATCTGCTCATCTTTTCCAGGTTCTGAATATGCCGCAACCTTGTCTGGTTTGGCTTGTGTCGGCAGCAGGGTGTCAATTTTCTTTGTCAATGTTTCCATTTGCACTTGCAAGCGGGCTTGTTGATTATTTACTGCGCTACTGGTACCTTCTGCCATGGTACCTAGTGTTTTTGTCAAGTTACTTAACTGGACGGCCATGGTTTCATTGGAATTGTTCATGGTTGTTTTCACTGCGGCTGCGAGACGAGCCATCTCCTCAGGTTCTTGGAAACTCTTGGGTTGCTTTAGTAGAACATTCTCACGTAAATTAGCTCTTAAACATTGCACAAAATGTCTCATCTAGTCTGCGTCCGAGATCTTTATTCTGCGAAACTTGCTGGTCAAATCATTCAGTTAGGTGTCGATAGACTCAACAGGTCCCTCTTGGCGGGTCGTAACTACTTGCCAGATGATCCAATTTTGATTCTCGTTCGCGAATCTCTCCCTCAAAGCTTCACGCAATGCTACAAATGTATCCTTCCTGTTCTCATACAAGGAATAATAGAAATCCTCTTCGGGTCCTGCAAGGTTTAATATCAGTTCTGCGAGTGCGGTGGGACTGTCTGTACGTATTCGGCGTAAGTCTAAATAATGTTCCACTTTGTCAAGCCATCGGTTAATATCTTCGGAATCGAAACCGTGAAATGGAGCGGGCCTTTGTGAACTAGATGTGTCCGGAATTGGAGCTTGTTCCAAAGCATTAATAGTTCTCTGGCGAAATTCCCGATGGTTTTGCTGTTTACTCCTTAGTTCTTGTAAAAAGTTCAATTGCTCCTGTAATTGCTCTAACATTTCGGCTTGCACAGTGCCGGTTGCTAGAGTTTCACGAGTATGTAATTCTTCTTTGTCTGTTGTAAATAGGGGTGATTCTCTTACACCACTGTGACTAAAATAATCTTCAGAGTCACTGTTATCCTTCGAATCCAAATGTGATTCGTTAGGATCCCTTTCTAGGCTTTCCTCGTAGTTTAACCTTACGGGAAAGTGTTCGTAAATATCAGCAGGTGAATTTATAACTGGTACCTGTCGGCCACCTGCTGTGAGGTTGTTTTCTTCTGTGATGTCCTCTTTTTCTCTCTCTTTTTCTTTGCCTTTTTCTAAACGTTCTTTTGTACAAAATTCGTCAGGATCAGCGGTATTCTGTTCTTCTATTTCAACGCAAACTTCCTGTCGCGAACAATGGGCTTTCTGGGAATCTGTGGGTGGTTCACTTGGGCTGGTACTCTCTCTGTGGCTGGGCTCGACGCTGATATCAATGGGTTCCAAATTCGTCTCATTTACTCTATCCGCTATATCTGGGCGGGCTTCTGGTAATTCGGAAATTTCTCCTTCTCTGGGGCTTCGTACGCGTCGTAACTTGGGGGCTATTTCACTTTCATCGAAGGGCAAATCGCATTCCACACAGGCGTCAACCTTCGACTTGAGCGTACTTCTTCCGTACAATTTCTTCTGGCTTGTCAACTTATATGTTTTATTTTTCTTTTGAATAACTTCGACATGAAATGCCATTTTTTTTTTTTTCACTTACTTGGGCGTTCTTTTTGTCGTTCGCTCCAAGGGGTTACATTCCGTTCTGGATTGCTTCAAACGGCTATTGTTAATTCCTCTGTAACTACCACGCTTCTCCAACCACTGTGATAATAGGTTTTTGGCCCGGGAAAGCACTTCTGTAAAAACCTGGGGAAACACTCTTGCTGCGGGGATCAGTACCGGAATCTGTTACAAGGAATTATCTTCAGAGACATCAACAGCACTCAGAACTTAGGTCCAACGATATCGTTTTAATCCAAGAACACAACCAGAATGCAAGCGGAACATAACAAAGAATATTTTACAAGACACAACTATTTAAGTCGAAAGCACAATTCTATAGGATTGTTTTATTTTTATTTTACAAAAATAAAAATAAAAAACAAACAAAAAAAAATTACAATCAATATGTAGAGGTTCGGAAGGGACATCCCAACAGCTAAGTAGCCAATTACTGCGGGCCCAGGTCATGTAAAGCTATGAAAAAAGTCTTAACTAAACATTATCTCATACATTTCAGAAGGCTCGATTGGTTATAACGGAATTTGTCATTTACAACATTAATAACTTTCAAAACGATACAGGTAGGTAACAGTTTAACAAAAGACTATCGCAGGTAGCAATTACCGTTCAAAGCTTATTACAGTTGTGATCCTACAACAAAAATAGCAGGTGTTTGTTACGGTTAATGAACTGGAACAGTAACCTGTAACTCAGAAATGTAAAACGAACTAAAACTAATATATCTACGTTGGATTTCTATATTTTTTTTGTCAGCGAAAGCGAATATGTAAACTATACTAAATGATCTGATTTTCTCTCCTCACAAACGATCAGTGGTAGGGGTGACTCATTATTTTACATTATGTAATCCAAACAAGTTGTCAGTTAAGAGGAACTTTCATTAGAAATATAACTAACATGATCATGAACAAAAAACGCTCAACTTAGACTGACATAAATAGTCATTCGGTTCAATTATAAGGAAAACCAATACAAGTCCATACATACACTACTCACCTGAGAGACATCAAGAGCAGAAACTGCGAAAAAAGCCAAGCAATAATGAGCATCAACCATAAACTTAGTGCACTGACTGTAGGATCCAAACCAGCCAACATTTCCAAGACGAAGTCCACTTTGAGGTTTACCAATAGCATCCAGATCTGAAGAAATATTAATCAAGATTAGGCATTAGACCATGTCTTTGCCAGACCACATTTCGCAAAGTAACAGCGTCAAGGGGTCTGCAAAGAAATACACAAGAAAATAAAGATTATAAAATCCGCGCTAACCTAATTTTATTGTCACGTGTACGGAAAAATAAACTTGAAAATACTCACAAAGGACAAGTTCACTTGTGCTGAGCTTCTCCACAGTTTCTTTGCACTGCTTGCCGACGTTCGCGAAAGAAATATTTGGAAGCTTCGGAAATGGAAAGCCAAAGTGCTGTGCGATCTGAGCATAGCCTTTGGAAAGTAATCCAGGAGATGCAGGTGAAGATGTTGGAATGGGACAGAACACCAAGAAAACTGCAAAGATTGTCAGTGCTTTTTTAACGCCCGCCATGTTGCGCAAAAGTTTCAAGAGAGTGACGAGATTGGACTTTTTAAAACTCGTAACGGTCAAAAACCCATGACAGTCAGTCAGTCAAATCCTTGTGACGGTCAAATCGTTGGAACACGTGAAGGTTGTGTCTGTGATGTCCCCGTGACACCAGAAGTATTAATTTCCATATCCTATTGCAAAGTGTGCAACTGATTGAAACTGACTCTTTTTCTTTTTGGGAGGGGGGGGGGGGGGGTTCAGACATATATTTAGAACACAAATTCTTTCCGTGCAAAACTGTCATCATTAGCGATAACAATCACAGATACGGTAAGTAACGTCTTAATTTTTTTTAAGGTAGTCACGATCACGCTTACAGCGACGAGATTGAGATCAAAATGAGACCGAGAAGATGTGAAATCGCTGTAATTGCGACTGTTGTCTGTTTATTAAATTTACACAGGTTGATCAGTCAAATAACTTTACGAAATCTTATGTTCCTTCGTGAAAGAATGGTGGAAGATTTTGTCCAAGGGAGTGAAAGCCTGCTTTTTCTGACCACCGTATTTTTGAGTGTTCACCGAAGACGAGGTAATTTTCGACGCATAGGCAGAAGAGCGTGGGCCTGGCCAAGACCGCAGAACTGGTTTGATGTAAACCTAACAGATTTGTTGGGAAATCGGTGAAGATCATAAGAAAAAAACGGTGACACTTACGTAAGACAAAAGAAATAACAATCAACGAAAACAAACCACGCAACGTACTTCTGATATGCCAGTGAAAAGTCCCAAGCGTACTTGTTTTGCATATATTCAAACGTGTCCTGCCGGTGATACATGTTCCATCGATGAAAAGTCACAGAACGTGATCCGGTCTGCTCGAAAAATCTAAAGTGCGGCACGTGTTTAGTCCCGGCGGGTATTCCCAGAAAAATTGGGTGGGGGTGTGTTGCCCGCTTCCCAAACCCTTACCCTATTTATGACCATAATTATATAGCTCCATCGAAATCCAATATTGCCAACAGACCTATTTTTTATTAATTGTTGCAAACTGTCCAAATTTAAAATAAATTGGATAGTTTTTGCTCGAACGTTTAGTTTAGCTTTGAACAAACTGTCCAATTGCTGGTTTTCAGTGTCACGCAATTCAAAATAGATCAAAATAAAAATGGAAGCCGGTCAATAGATAAAGTCCAGAATCTGGGAGATGAAAGAAGGTAAATATGCAAAGACTCTC